GCATGCGTTGCAGATCTGGACACTGAGAAACATCTTATCTAATAGAATCGAACACCGTTCAGCCCCGCCGCTCTCTGGCTGTCCGTCTTCATGTTTCCTTTGCAATCATGATTTTTCGGTCTCCATCGCTGTGTCTGACTGGCATCTGCAGGAATTGCGCCGCGATGTTTTACTTGTGTCATCGCAGTCGCCTGCCTCGTGCTCCAAAGCTGCGGAGCCTTAGCTGCAACAGTGGGGGCCGTGCCTACCGGGAGATTCCATGATAACCTGCCTCTTGCATCAATATACGGACAAAGCCGGTGGGTTTGTGCCAATTCTCGTGATGCAGGGGCAGCTTTTGAAGGCACGAGCTTCGCTTCACTGTCGCTTCCAGTGCGTGGTCGGCCACCATCAACTCGATGCAGAGCGAAGAACACGGAGACAACTGAGTTGAGCCTTTCGTGGGAAGCTCGCTGGGTCCAAGTCTCACTTGTTAGAATCTTGCTTACATCCTAGTTGCACAAGTCGTTGTAGGATGCCAGACGCGACCGAACATGCTTGCGACTCTGAGGTTCGGCCTGTTTATGCAATTACCTCGGTGGCAGCTTTTTGGTCAGCTAGACGTTCCTGGATGGATGCCGTAGCACGCTGTGCAACCGTGCTTGTGGCACTGCTCGACTTCGCTCCGACTGCAGCCAAGCAGATTGCGGAGCCTTGGGACCATTGATTTGAAGGAAGAGACTGCTCTCTGCTTGTCAGTGCCACCTCCAGGAGTCCGCTGCTGCCTGGAAAATCAATCCCATCGCCAGACGCTGGGCTGTGCTGGTGCGGCTGAAGGACGGGGCAACCCCTGACTGCAGGGTCCAGACATGCAAGCATGGCAGGTGCTGGGTGAGCTATGCGGGCTAGTCATGGTTTGCAACGGGAGGCCAAGGGTTTCGAGTCACCCCGATCACGATGTTGGACAGAAGTGTTTTAGATCTGCCTGCCAGGTGGCCGGCATGCTATGGTGCCTCTGTGGTAATTCTTTCGCACGTGCTCTTTTGGCTATGCGGCGCTGCTTCTGCACGAGTGGATGCTGCTGGGAAGCCTGCCCCCGTTCCAGCACCAGAGTCTTGGCCTCCGATTGTCCCCAGAACGTAAACGATGAGAGCATGTTAGGCATGGCCTGCCCTTCTCTGTCTGTCTGTGTGTCTGTGTGTCTGTATGTCTGCCTGCGTGCCTGGCTGGCTGGTTGGCTGGCTGTCTGTCTGTCTGTCTGTCTGTCTGTCTGTCTGTCGTCTAAACAAATAAAAAAAATATATATACATACACATATAAATAAATAAATAGATAAACAAATAAATAAATAAATAAATAAATATATATATATAATATACACACATACACATGCTTTCAGTCTTTTCGAGTCTAGTTCTTTTGCCAGTCCACTGGAGGTTTCTCGAATGATTCTCAGTGCAGATGTGGCCGTCCTGGTGGCTGCAGTCGCGGGCTGCGCCGCACCTGGTGCCTGGGGCTTCGCCGGTACTGCTACTTACGCTGGCGCAGCGACATGTCACAGCAGTATCGATTTTGCGCATTTTCTCTTCAATTTAGTGAGCTGCTGCGCCGACACGGGCACAGGTCACTTTCGTCGCTGGCGAGAAATTCGTAAAGGCTGCAAAGCAGCGTCGGATAAGATCGGGCAAGACTGCCCGCGCAGCTGCAAGCGATTCCACGGCGGTGGGGAACTGGGCTGACTTTTCCTGGCGCCGCTTGAAAGAAATGGACGGGATGCCTCATTCGAGCATTTTCGTTCGACGTTCCTTATACGGGATTCATACGTGCGGCGTCACTAAGGCAACAACTGGTACCCGGTAGCTTTTGCAGACATCACTGCCAAGACCTGAGCCACAGCCACGCGAAAGAAGTGCTTGTAGTGTATGCACCAGTCAGCTTGGTATGCTACCAGTGTGGTTTTCATCTGAGGACAAAAGTCGACCGCATCGTATTGAGCTTTTTGGAGAGGGCCTGGTCCTGTGGTCTCTCGGTCTGGGTAGCGGATGCAGCAAGCTTTCAAACAGGATGTGTTGCATGACTGTAGTGGAAGTGGATGCCAGCTCGAGTAGTTCGTCTAGATGTGCAGATCCCACTTTCATCGCTCGAGGTGGGATACAGGTACTACGGCTTGGCATGTGGCCATGGATAGGTGCCCTCACCGTCTGGCACCTCTCTCGGAGGGGCGGGTGGATGAGAGTGGCCACATTGACGCCAGGACGGAAGATTTGTCGGATGGGTACCGGGGGAGCGGGGTATCAGGTTTCGTCTGATGGTGTCGTGACGCAAGGCTCGTTTGGATACAATGAACGCCGTGACTGTCGACTTGCGAGCATCCCAGGAGTGCCCGTATCATGGCTGGACGTTCGATGGGACTGGGACATGCCAGAAGATTCCGCAGGCACGAGGTGAGGTGAGACAGTCAGATGGTGGCTGGCATGGGGACAGCAGATTCGGAACTGATCACACTGAGGCAGCAAGCTTCGACGAAGAGCTTGCCAAACGCTGCAGCGCGACAGTTTTTCGCACCCACCAGCAGCAAGGTTTGATTTGGGTATGGGGGCAGCCCGGAGCAAGCATCGAGGAGGCAGACGAGTCGCTGATCCCAATCTGTGATGCGATGGAAAGCAGTGAGTTCGAGTGGATAGATGTTTCCAGGGACATGCCGTACTCTGCAGACATTCTGCTGGAGAACCTCTTGGACTCTAGCCACGTGCCCTTCACCCATCACAAAACAGTTTCAAAAAGAGAGAATGCACAGCCTCTGCCGCTGCAAATCACCGAGCGGATATCTGCATCAGGCTTTCGAGGAGCCTTCAAGACAGACACACCTGTTGGCAAGCAAGGGACGGATGCCATCAAGAACGGCAGAAGGACGGCGCGTTCCACGATGTTTAAGGCGCCAACGTACATGCACCATCGCATCCGTACCTCAGACTCCCAGGGCAACCTGGATAATGGGTGTCTCGACTGGGATTCGGCTCGATTTGACACTGAGCTTCTTTGTGCGTACATGCGAGCGGGAGGAATGTGTTGAGCTGGCAGGTTTGAGACCTGGACCGTGGCCTACGCAACCCCTTCCGGACAGATGCGCTGCTTTGTGGCTACGGCTTCAGTGTGTTATTCACTTCTTTCCATGGCCGAGAGCTGCCGCGTGCTAGGGCCTCTCGGAGTTTCTAGGTCTCAAGCACTGTGGCCAGGACCTGGACGGAGTCGCCTCTTTGCTCGGTTTCCTTTCCGCTTTCCGGCCCCAAAGTTTGGACCGAACTTGCCACGACTTCTCGTGAGGTCTGGATCTCAAGAGATTAGAACAGCTCGACAAGCCTGACCATGCCCGGCATTAGGCACCTGCCTGACTGGCTAAATCACCTGGGACAGCTCCGAGTGCTGGACGACGACAACATCTTCTTGCCGATTCAAGAGCGTCAGGCCGCCTGCTTCCGATGCGGGCTTTAACGTTTTGCTGCTGCCGGCAGCTGTTGGATTTTGTGCTGCAGGTGCAGGATGCAGGTGGTTGGCTTCTTGGCCAAGTGAATAGTTTGTGCAACCACAAGATTTCTGCTGCACTGCGATTTTTGATTCCATTATCAGCAATTTACATGTTGCCAGGAAGACCTACGTCATGCCAACCAGCTCCGACACCTTCGTAACAGCGTTTCGGACCTGGTTCGACCGGGCTGGGCCGCCGCCGCATGCTCCGTCAGCCGTGGATGAATATCGGAGCCGGCAGCCGACCAGGGCCGAGCTTCTTGACAGTGGCCCAACGCAGGGAGCAAGATATGCATAGTTCGCTTTTTGAATTTGTTATTGAGGCGATAATGCCGCTGGGCAGCAGCTCAGGACAGGCACAGCACACCGCGCATTGTGCTAGCTGCACCGGCGCTGTGCGGAACTCAAGAAAGGTTATTAGCCTTTGCCGGGTCCTGCTTTTCTTGGCAGCTGCTGCTGCACCCACACTATACTCAAGGCTTGCAAACGAAGATGAAACATACGAATCACATGACCATGTTCATCGTGGATACTAGTAATTAACTAGTACTATACCCGGAAGATGACAAGGTGTGGATCTCACGCTAAAGCCCTACAGGCAGTCTTGGCGCGGGCTCGTGCTTCTGGTGCTGGCAAGTTGCGTGGTGGGGAAGGCTTGGCAGCTCGCTTGGAGCATCCAAGCCCGGCTGACTAGTCATTCGGCCGCAAAGACTTGCTGAAAGGAGAGGCTTGAGGAGAGATGTCCAACTGAGGTGGGATGCATGACTACCCCCCGCCCCGGAATCAGTTCGGAAGGCAGTTTGCAGCAGCAGATCGTGCTTGCACTGGTTATGATATGGCCTGTGACTTCGCAATGGTACTGGTACGACGTGTGTTTGAAAGACCTTTCCTCATGTCCCACCAGCTTCTTTTAAAAGGCCGAGCATGAGTTCATCAGGGTCAGTGCAGCTGTACAGACTTTCTCATTCCTGCTGTAACCTAATCCCTTCACTGCTGAGCGGGGCTGTGAATTCACTGATGATGCACAGGCGTGGGCAAAATCGAGAACTTCGCACAGTGGAGCAGGGACGACGGTTCTGAGTTGCAGCATCAGGTGCGGTCAAAGTGCCTCTAGCTTGTCGCCTGTTTCAAGGAATCAGGAAAGCCTTGAATGTAGGGCTGTTCCTGATCGCGCTGCGCAATTGAAGCCACGAGACTTATGTGAGGTCCCTGTTGGTAACTTCACTGGGAGCCCTGATTATGTTTGCTTCTGTGGCACCCGCGTGCCACCTCCACCACGCTTCTAGTCGGTGCCGATGGTGCCGTAGAAGCGTCGGCAGACAAGCTGCAGGTTTCGATGCGATCGAATGCAAGCAAAGTTACAGCAGCAGACGTTTCTCGGGTTGCCTGGGGTGGCAATATGCCAGGTGATGTATGCGGGAGCCTCCGATTAACCGATCCATTGTAACTCCGGATCAGAACTGCTTGATTTGCATGGTCGGCTTTGCTGGCATCAGGCGAGGTGGCGCTCGATCCCGACTCACGATCGTACGCAGCAGCAATGGCAGCGCCGGCGCCTGATGCTCTTGGATGTTGGTGTCTTACTGGCGCTAGATGGCTTCTGCAGGGGTGTGGAGCTGGCCTGGCGTTGTGCTTGAACTTCTTAGGTCACGCTTCATTCTACAAAAGGTCTCGTCCCGCCGTCGTTGCTGTCATCTCACGAGCCATTTAACACAGGCTGACGCGTGCCTCGACCTTCGCAATGGCCGCCTTGTCACCCGTTGCCTCACCCGTGCCAGTGGTTCGATCAGTGCGGACAGCGCAGTCGTCAGAGATTCCGAGAGCAAGGGCTAGCACAAGTCCGCTCAGCAGCAGCAGCAGCTGCAGCGTGGGAGTTCTTCTCGGAGCTCTTGCGGCCTCCGTTGCCTCCGGTGGCTCCAACAGACCCAAACGGGTGAAAACCGTCCGAGCGGCGTCCGTGGTGGCAGAGGTTGGGACGCAAGCAGGGGAAAAGCCAGTCGAAGGCAAGAAGTTGAAGGTCATCATTGCTGGCGGTGGGGTTGGTGGCCTTACTTGCGCTGTTGCCATGCTGAAGAAGGGCTGGGATGTTCGAGTCTATGAAAAGACTGGGAAGTTTGCCCGGTTTGGTGGACCGATTCAGTTTGCCAGCAATGCAACTTCCACTTTGAAGGCTATTGATGAGCGCCTCTTTGATCGGGTTATGGAAAAGTTTACCTTCACAGCCACACGCCGATGTGGCATCAAAGATGGCTTGCGTTCCAATGGAGACTTCCGCATGACAGATGTATTGAATCCGTCATACTTTGTAGACAAGGATGTGCCTGCGGATTGGTTCATTTCTTTTCCCCTGAAAGAGTGTGCCGACTTCTTCAACCTGCCCTACACTGGCGTCATCAACAGACCGGATTTGCAGGATATCCTTCTGGATGAGTGCAAGGACGTGAAGGAAGATTTCATCGTCAACGGGGTTTCTGTTCAAAGTTATGATTCTTGGCCATGGGACTTAGGCTCACGGATTGTAAGCCTACAGCAAAACTCAATTGCATGTTGCCAGGTCATTGTGACCCTTTAGCTAAGGAGAATCACGACAAGGGCGTCACCGTCCACCTGTCTGACGGCACGACAGAGGAAGCCGACATTTTGGTTGGTGCTGATGGAATCTGGTCCGCAGTCCGGGCGGAGATGTACAAAGAAGGTGCCATCAAAGCCCGATCGAAGGACATTTGCTGTGAGCATGTTGCAGCTTGCTTGCTTTGCAGCAGGGGGAGCACGGTGAATCGGGTCTGGTGTCCAGGACGGCAACTCGATCCAAGGCTGCCGATATTCAGGATACACGGTTTTTGCTGGCGAGACAGTGCTGGAGGCGCTCGCATCAAAGACTGCCGGCTTGCTGCGTGCTCTCTTGCTTGCATGACGTGCGTTTGCTTCCTGTAAGGTGCCCGACTACTACGAATGTGGCTACAAGGTCTACATAGGCCCACAGAGGCCAGTGGCTTCGTCATGCGCATTCTTCAGTGTCTTTGGTCACAGAGTCGTTCGTGGACCCAGAAGCATCTGATTAACAGCTGAAGCTAAGCCGCTCTGACGACGTCGCACGTGAAGTGCAAGGAGCGATTCGTGTGACGTCACCCGGGCGTCGTAGGTGACCGACATTTGTGTGGACACTTCGTCGCCACGACCTCACAGTCAGAAAGACGAGATAGATCCGGCCACTGCCACACCCTACATGGGCAAGTCTCATCAAGTGTGTCTGTCAGCAATGGCTTGATTTTAATGCATACCTACCATGGCTCACTGCACCCACGGGACGATTCCTTGTCTCATGGCTATTCCGGCTACTCCGCACGCCAGCGGGCAGAGACGCTCGAGAAAACGCACAAAATCACGACTTCCAGCGTTGGCCAAACAGCACGGCTTCGTTGCACTCATGCATGAGTCGCTGAGACCGTAGACAAAAAATGGCAAGATATCACATATTGGATTTGCTTTTCGAGCCAATCTTTGGGACGGGAACACTGCTTGAGGCTTACAGATCTTAGCACTTCAACTGCTTCCGCTGTCACAGAGCTGTGCAGACATCAAGTCACTTTCCACTGGCAGATACTTCGTGACCTCCGACGTTGGTGAGGGTCGCATCCAGTGGTACGCATTCCTAGCTCTGCCGCCTGGGACTCGAAAGGCTCGGCTGCAGGGTGGTTGAGGGTGCTGCAGACACCGGCAGACCATGTTGTTATCTCTTTCCCTGTGACACAGTGGGTGTCGCAAGAGTCTATCGGAGCAACCTCCCAAGTTACTGGTAGCAAAGTACCTGCTGTGGAGGCTGGTGACACCTGGGCAGGCGACACCGGGGATGCCAAAGAGGGTGCCGATGTCATTTCTTATCTCAAGTCCCTGCACGAAGGCCGGGGAATCGCAAGTTCAGCGACTTATGTCGATGTTACGTTATGTCTGCAGCCATTCGCTTTACCAAAGGACATGTGTCCATGCTTTAGGTGTTCGTATCTGCAGACTGCAACTTTCCAGTGCTGCGCTTCCAGAAGCGCGTGGAATGTCTGATTTCACGGACATGGCACAGATCTGCTGTTGCAGCGGCCAGAACTGCTTTCTGACAACTCCCCTCATCCCAACAACACTAGTTCGCACCTGAGCAGGGCATCTGCGAAGTACTGTCAGCCACAAGTGTCCGGTTCTCTTTCGCTGTTGAGGTGCAGACTGGAATAGACTTTGCTGGTAAAAGGTCATTCCCCCTAATCCCACGCTGCAGCAAACGATGCAGCGCCTCAGAGGCTGGAGCGAGGAAGTCTTCTACGTCCTGGACAATACCCCGGCGGAATCAGTGGAGCAGTGACTTTCTTGCACCTTCAAGATCCTTCAACTGCTTGTGTACTTGTGTGGCTTGACGTTTCTTGGTTCGTGTTCAAGAGAGTTTTGGCTAAGTTTTGGTGGGGGTTGCCAGATCAACCGTCTGATAAACACATATAAACACCTGACCTGCAGAGGAGGGAGTCCGAGGAAGAACAACCGAAACTGCAAGAGTCGACAAGTGCAGCAGTGGGCGAAGTGCTGACAACCAAGGGCCTAGGGCCCAGGGCGAAGCGAAGGGTAACTGACTTGGAGCTGCAAGTTTGAACTCGACCTGTGCCACACTGCGTGCCAAGCACGTGTCGAAAGGACTTTGCTGCTGTTGAGCTGCGCTGGGAGACACTTATACCGGGTTGAATGCGTGAGCCATTGCTCAAAAGACGACACGAACCAAAGGTAGCATCTTTCAAGATGCAGACGCGCGGCAAGATCATTGGCTATATGTCAGATCGTCCCCGAAGCATGGAGAGCATACCAACTGTGTTGGAGTTAGGCGGCACAGACAGGCCTCATCATTGCTGGCGAATGCCATGCGGGCAAGACATTCTGTGGCAGTACCGCTTGCCAAGACGTCTTCAGATGGCATGCAGCTGCATGTAGACGATGTGAGGCGAGATTTGTACGATCGCTGGCCGGAGTTCTTTCGCTCTTGGGCAGATGGCACCTTGGATCCATCAGATACTCTTTTTGTGTTTGTTCGGTGGCTGCAGCCGCTGCCACGCTCGCCCCCGGCCTGAGGCAATGTGGTGCTGATGGGTGATGCAGTGCACCCTATGATGCCGCAGCTTGTCACATCTCGGCCATGCGGACACCTTTATTGCTTCGTCGTGCTAAGAGCAGAGGAACTTGGGCCAGGGTGGCTGCCAAGCGATCGAGGCAGGCTGAAAGCAAATCGCGACGAACCTATGAAGTTAAGAGTCCGAGTTTTCCTTGAATCGAGTTCGGCTCGTTTCGTTTCACCAAGTTCAGCTCTGTAGCGCACAGCTTTGCAGTTGACCTGCGGAGACACTGCATGTGCACGCCTGCAGTGCAAGTCGTTGCGAAGCTGCGTGGCTAGAGCTGTTAGACGGTCCAAATGGACAGGATGCATATGAGCTCGTCCGAATCCTGGACGGCTCGAAGACCTATTCTCAGGACTTTGATCCCAAGGCTGAATCATGCAGCACGGCGACAGGTCGTCCTCCTTGTATTGGCTGCGCAGGTGACGGCAGATGCTCTGCAGCGGTTTTATCGCAACCGGATGCCGCGGGTTGCGGGCATCTCCCTGCTGTCAGGGTTGGCATCTGATTTGATCATCAATGCCAGGGTCTGAGAGACCACCATGCGAAAACTTGCTACAGTTCTTGAGGTAGATGGACCTAGTACCATCGCTCGATAGCCGTGCCTGATGCAGGCATTTGGCACGCCGTGGTCCCCACACGACGAAGCTCTGGCTGCATTCAAACTCACTGGCTCTGTGCCTTTCTAGACCGCCAGGGTGATCGCAGAGGTGCTGTGAGGTCGAAGTCGGGCGGTTTTTTAAAGCCAAGTTGACCATCTTCATTTGCCTTTCAATCTCCATCTGCTGTACTTGCCTGGCTGCCTTGAGTCCATGCGTGATTGGGAGCAACTGCACTTGAGTTTTGGAATTGAGAAGCCATGCCGTATCATGCCGTCAACGAGGTCGAGCGACGTTTTTTGAGAGACAGAGCCAGCACACTAAGGACAAGGGCATGGACTGGAGGTCCTACTTGACTTTGGCCTGGAAGCCCTTTCTCCAGTTTGTGTTCTTCCCGCTCCAGCCACTCGATTTCCTACGAGTAGCAGGCTTCACCACTGCTTGGCTTGGGTCGACGATGTGGCTGGCAGTGCAATCTGTGCTCGTAGTCGAAAGATTTCGATGCTGTTCGACATAGCAGACACGAAGCCATGTGTTTGGTAGAGCGGCTTTGGACTGTAGAAAGTGATGCGCTATCGGTTCCAGCTGGCGCTGGCCACACTCACGCGCACGGGGAGCAATGAGCAGACGGTGATATAGCTTCCAGCTCGCAGGTGAAATGAGCAAAGAACGAGAACTCAGAAGCAACATGATTTTTCGTTGGAAATCGTCGGGCTGGTCGACTGAACAGAGCAGTGTTGCTGTCGCACTGTTCGTCGCCATTGAAGCGAGTTGGGGACAGAAGCGCGTGGATGCGAAAGAGTCTCGTCAAGGCACTTCGATTTAGCGTAAGAGCATGCATTGCTCTCGACGCCAGTTTTCTTGAGTGCCATCCACTGCGCCCTCCCTCGCCTGCGAAGCACGGGCAAAGACACCAGATCGCACTCCAGGAGGGTCTGTCGGACTCGCTAAACGATGCAGGGCTGGACTCAAGTTTTAGAGCCGCGAAACGGCCTTGGAGTTAGCCAGAGACATGGAGATATCCGATCAAAGCTCTCAGGTTCCTCTTCCTCTACTCGAACCACCCGTCTGGAGGAATGGGGGACTTGCCGCAGCAGTTGGTGGACGACTGGGAAAAACGTCACAAAGCAAAAGCGGAGGCGCTGTGCGCAGTGAGGAATTGGGAGCTGATGTGTTGCTGTGTTTTTTGCCATTTTTTGCCATAGCATGGCATCCTGGCAGCCTTGGCATGTGTCTTTGCAGGCCGCCTTTGCAGCCAAAAGAAGCGGAAAAGCATCCAGCAGCGGGCCATCTTTCTTTGCCAAGGTGAACCAGGTAGAGGAGGAAAAGGCGGCGCAGCTGTCTGCTGGGGTAGGTGGGTTCGAGTGTAGTGTCTGCTGCCTCACCCGCATTTGCGATGGAAACTTGCTTGTCTGCTGGGCCTGCTGAGGTGCCAGTATATGATGCATGATCTGACACAGCGACTCGCGAAGCTTGGGACTGATCTGTCGGGCGTGTTTGTGCAAAGGCAGGCTGCGCCCCAGGAAAATGTTCGGGTTCGCATGCACGTTCGTTTGCCGCATGGCAATGTGCATTAAAGAGAACCGCGGTCTCGAAGAAGCAGAGGCGTCAGTTCTTGTAGTGTTTCCCATCAGCACCTGCACAGATGGTGAACGTACCATCTCAGTGCAGCTTAATCAAAGCGACGTCATGCTATGCATTACAATGGCCTGACCGACAACGAGACGCAGTATACGCAGTGGTACCAGACCGACGAGCTACTACCAATAGTGTAGCATTAAGGCTTCGTTGCCGGCAGGATCAGAATGACTTCAGTGCGAGTCATCAGGTTTTTAAGACAAGTCGGCAGGGCCATTGACGATTAAAAGGCTCCGGCTGCATCATTTGGAACGAGGACTCACTGCAATGGCGACATTGTTGAGTTTTGAATAGTGGGAGTGTCAAATCGAATGCTTTAGTTTCCATTTGCTCGTCAACAGCACGAATACCTGCTGCCACTGCTACATGTTTTTGCTCCATGGTTGTGCGTCAAGGTGCCGCTGGGAAGAGCGACAGAGATCCGTAGCAGCTGCAGATGCCATGCTGCTGTCACTAGGTTCAATTGGTCCAGAGCGAACTGTTGTACGTTAGTTAGTCTCGTTGCACTTCTGAGCTTTGAGGTATGATGAGTTTATGTCTCTGTCCAATGCGGCAGCAGGCGGTGTGATTTGTCACTAGCTTATTTCGGCCTGATTTCCCTTCGGAAGTGTAACTGCCAGACGCATATACATCGGCATTGACCGGCTCTGATAATTTGAAGAATTTGGATCGATTTCGTTCGCATTGTGAGGATCTCAGCTGATCCGCGAGGCGGCTCAAGCCTGCGAGGCCGACACATCTTCGACCACCTGGCTTCAACATAGGGAAGGGCCAGGGAGGCGTGTGTTCCACTACTGCTACTACTGCTGCTGCTGCTGCTACGACGACATTTATTAGTACGGTACTCCGGCGGATAAAAGCCCGCCGCCCTGCCGGGGCAACATCCGCCGGACGTAAAAGCCGCCGAGCTTTCGTTCTCCATGCCTCCGCCCCTCAAGTTGTTTTCAGCAGAGGAAGTTCAGCGGTAGTTTGGTGGAGGTTTCCGGTCAACTTAGCTTAGTCGATAAAATTTGCCGCCAATGTCAAACCAGAGCAGACTCTACCACGAGGTAAAAATTAGACTATACGTTTTAACTTTCCCGCCGCTTTTTGTAGCTTCGAAGCGAAACGGCAAATGCAAAGTCAAGAAACAAAGTGCTGCTTCATCGACAAAAGTTGCTGAGCCAGGAAAGTGCTGCAGAAGCTACTCTGTCGATGTCAGCCACCGTCCGCTGGCGATATCCTGTTCGAGCTCTTGCTCTCTCGTATTCCTTTCGACAGGCTGTGCTCAAAGTGGCCCTCGATTCCAATGTAACTGGAAACGGGCATCACTCCCATCGCCTCACTTTTTTCAGTAAGAGATTCGACGGGTATGGGCAGTGGAAAGTCGCAACGGTTCACAAAGTGACACAGTTTTGGGCCGGGTCATTGCTGTGCATGTTGTGTGGCACATATATATATATATGTGTATGTATGTGTGTGTGCGCGCAAGCATGCAGAAGCGGAAACACGTCGCAGTTTTTCAGCCCGACGTCGCTTAAGTTTGTGTACTCCGTCTCCAGTTTTGTGACTGTGTGAGAGCACGGTTTTGGATCAACGTCGGGTCGAATGCAGTGCATCTTTGGTGGCATCGATGTCGTTAGTGCGGAAAAAGGGAAATTCGATATCCCCCTTCAGATTTTTAGCGGATGTTGTTTGCATAACATGCGAGAGGTTGCAACACCGTGACACCCTTCTAATCAAACTTCGTTGCAAAGCCACAGTTGCAATATCTGCTAGGATGGAGGATTGTGGACTCGGGCATTGTCGCTGCTGGAGATTGCGCGTCGCCCCAAGAGCTTGCACATGTTGTGCGGCACCTGAACCAGTCTGTGGAGCCGGCAGGATCAAGACCTAGTACAGGTTGTCAGCATTTGCGGCCCGAGCGAGTGCGCGGCGAATCTGCGCACATGGCATCGGTGCACGATGTCTGGTCCATCGCAATGCCCCGACAAGGCCGCTGCCGAGGCTTGCTCGAGAACCGTGAATCTTCGGTGACAAGTTGTCCCATCATCCCAGTGCTTAAATTGGGCTTATTCCCCTTGGTATTAATCCCGTCCCTGGTGCATCAAGGCAGCACATGAAGACATCTGAAGCACTATATGGAACCTTTGACAGGTGCTCTTCCTTCTTGATGGAAGTGGGCTGAGCCACAAGCCCGATGGCACGGAGCGTGGGCATTGTGGCGATGCCATGGCTTGGAGCTTCAGCTTGCTAGTTTGGCTTGTTTCACATCGTGGCAAGGGCTCAAGGCTTGGTAGGCATGCTGCGAGTTGGGGGTGGAAACTTGCAAGAGCCAAACAAATGCAAATGTCTCTGTGTGTGTGTGTGCGTGTGTGAGTCTGAGGGTTCAGAGCAGCATGACTTAATTTCGCGCTGCTTCTCAGGGCCGTGTCGCATCAAGCTTTGCAGAGAATATTTATTTACAGCCTCCGTGTCATGGGGGCTGTCTACTCCGTTGTAAAGGATTGTGCGCTTGCCTCCGTATCTATGACAGTAATGTACCTGCGAAGCGGTAGGCAGGTGAAAAAAAGCCAACTCTAACCTCAATGCAGTGCTGCACGAGGAGGTCATGTTTCGAGCGTGACCATTGGTGTAGGGCTCAAGCTCCTGAGCAAAAGTGCCGCTGGCAGTCAGGACGACTCCGAATCATCATTTGGACATGCCCGCCAGCGACTTACCCGGCCGGTGCATGACTCAACGACTGTCTTCCTCAGCTCAAACCGACAGTGGGCGCCTCGAGGAGAAGCTCATCTCATGCTGCCGCCAAATCCGCGAGCTCGTCCCAGCACCGCCGGCAGTCATTGGAAGGGCATGACTTATTCTTTCAGGAAGTCGATGTAGAAAGGTGATGTGTCTGTGCTTGTGTGTATATCTTAATATATGCATGCACAGACACAGACACAGACACAGACGGAGACACACACACACACATAATCATATATATATATATGTATATATATATATCTGTATGTCTGTCTGTCTGTCTGTCTGTCTGTCTGTCTGTCTGTCTGTCTGTCTGTATGTATGTATGTATGTATGTATGTATGTATGTGTGTGTTCAGATAGATGTGTATGTAAATATAACATACATATTATTGAATGTACATTTTTTCATTCTCAAGCGGTAGAGCCCAGGTCGGGCGCCCGCCTAGCAAGTGAATTCTGGTGAAACGAAAAGCAAAGTCAGCCCGGAGGGGCAAGCATGCCTGTGACGCTGAAAGCAAAGCCCGCTGCATGTAACCACTGGCCAGCGCTTAGCACATCATGGAGTCCCTTGCACCTCAGATGCACCGGCTGGGTACTAGCTTTCTCAAGACAGCGAGCAGCAAGCAGGCAGCCGCTTCGACCCATTCAGCGTCAGTTCGATTCGTGGAGACATATGCTGGTCGGGCAGTGAGGGTCCAGAGGAAAGACGGCGGGCTGGAGAACTCGAAGGCGCAAACCCGGTTAACACAAAGGTTGCACGACCTGGCAAACCGCTGTATCCACCGCGCACAAGAGGGCATGCGAGCGATAACCATGTTTCCGGCAGCGTGACCGGCCCAAGAAAGGCGACACTTGAAGGCTCGACGGCACGCAATACACACCGCACGTGGAGATCATGGCCCGGTGCAAACCGCTGAGGGCAGCGATTACAGAATGCCGGCAGATATCAACGGCGCGAGCACGCTTGATGGCACTTTTGAAAAGGCCGTGACGTTCGGACTCCACTCGGACTTAGGGCACGGCAGCCCCGTGTGGACCATGTCCACCTGCGGAGCCACTGCCGAAGGCTTGGTCGGCTCGGACAATCGCCTGCACTCTGGCATAGTGCTGTCGCAGGGCTTGGTAAGCCGAGGAGAGCAAAACAAGTGGATGCTTCCATGCTTTGGTCGTCAGATCTGTAAAGCGACCAGAAGGCGCCTGAGCTCCCCGTGGTTGAGCGGACCCCAAGGTCCCGGCCCCATACAAAAGTTTGAGCAGGACCGTAGAGCTGAGGTTGTATGCTCTCCGGCGGATGGCAATGCTCGCTAGACTTTCCCTCTGGCTTCCCCAAAGGCAACCCTTGACTGACATGGTGCTGAATTTCTGGGCGGAGGCCTCCCGCAAGAGTTTGTTGGCTGCCCCCAGATGGCGGTAAGTGCAAACCAGTGGAAAGCGTGCACTGGGAGTGCTTTCAAGGAGCACCGGAATGAACCCCTTAAGGCCGCTATTTCCAAAGACTGCTTGTTTGGCCCGCCGACTGCCATGTCCTCTCAGTGTGAGGATGCTCGCCGTTTTGTGTGACCGTATGCCGGGCTGGAGCCAAACTCCTGGATGGAGTCTGTCAGGAAGCTTGCCTCTTGCCTTATCGACGCAGCATGCTGGGGCTCAGTGATGCTGGGGATGGCAACGTCATCAGCCCATATCACTTCCTCGATGTCCATCCGGGGAGATGAAGACTTCAGGGGCTGAGGCTTTTCTCTCCGTGGTTGGGTTAAGTGGCAGGGCACCATCACTGGTCAAGAAATTGGGTGCTTCACCCTTGCCTGCGATGCCTTGCGGTGGCCTGATGGTTGGGTGCATGTGCCCTTGGAAGGTCACCTCTGGCACGTTCGTGGTGCGGTGTTCTTTTGCGCGTCTGCTTCTGTAGGATGACTCTGTGACAATCAGTTCGTGTAAACATGCATGCCGTGCAACATTACAGCTCGTTCGTGATGCTGGAGTGGAGGTTCAAGCTTCTTGTCTGAATAGTGTGTGAGCCGTACAGGTGGGGGTGGATGTTTGTGCTCGGCCTATATCGGCAAGGACTGCGGCTTGAGGGTCGGCTCACTGTTTAGTGAGGGGCCTGAAGGGCTGAGCCTCATGCGTTGTCTTGCGCTGGATGCAACAGCTGCGCGCCGTGGGGAGGCAGCTCCCCACAGACCTTTCGAAAGAAAGAGCGAGAGAGAGCGAGAGAGAGAGAGGGAGCGGTGGGCAAGCAAGCAAGCAAGAGAGAGCGGTGGGGAACCCGAGCTGCCTAGTATCAGGCACCCCTCGAAAGCCCCATTAACTTTGGGGGGCCTTAACGGCCGAGGGGCCTCTCACGCCCCTTTGTCCCGATGGAAGAAGAGAGCGAGCAAGATGCCTTTTCGGAACTAGGTTGCCAGACGCTCGGGGCACTTCTGTTTGAAGCTTATCTTGCTTCATGTCCTTGAGAGTCTTTCTGTGGGAGCCGATGTCCTTGAGAATACGATCATGGGAAAGACTCACATCCTCCTTCAGTTCACGTTCTGCTTTTCCCGTTGACTCTATTCTCCTTTTCGCACCAATAGCGGGCTTGACCGACCCTTATGCCCGGGAGAGAGAGATGCGCATATGCAGTCATGCATGCATTGAACTGGAGCTTGATTGTGTTGCGCTTGCGGTCCGAACTGAGGCAAGCCGTGTTCGAGTTTTCGTGGACATTCACGGTCGACCGGGCCGAATTAGACAAGTCCACATTTGACTTCGGCTTTGCAGTCCATAGGTGCTTGACCAGAAAATCAACTGAGAGTGCATGGGCGGCCAACGCAGCACCGAATTTGTGCCAGGTTTCGGCCGGCTTCAAGCCAGTTCCAGCGACGATGCAACGCTGCCTCCTTCCTGGGCCCATCAGACAGCACTTGGCATTTCTTAGATTCTGCAGAACACATCTGCAGCGAGCTGGTGCACGCTTTCAGGTGCGGCACATGCAAGGTTGACCGACGAGGGCTTACAGTACTGTCGGCACAGTCTCTAGCCCCAAGTTTTGGCTGGAATGAGTTCCTGGCCTGGTTTTGATCATCACATCGGCGGCGAGAAGCAACATTGATGTGCAAAGCTATGCAGAGGCCATGGCATCATCATCAACATAATTAAAATTAGTCATTTACCCGGTTTACTTGGAGTTGAGTCATCTCTGAATGCCGGGGTGTCATGCTGTTCGACTAGCTCTGAGACAGGCCTGCTGCAAAGATCGGGTGCGGTTCTCACACCAGCGAATGCACTGCAGTTCATGGACGCCTAAGGTACAGTGCGTGCCACCCGGCTGTCGCGTTGCAGACTTTCTGTTGGAATTTGGGCGCAAGCGTGCTGGCAATGGCGGGGATGTGATGCTCAAGCTGCACAGTGAGCATCAGTGGGCCACTCTTTAAGCAGCCACATTGAGCTACTAGTAGTCGGCTGTCCCCAGCTCTCGGCCAGCAATCAGCTTCGCTCTGCGTGCGGGTTGGAGTCGTGTTGGACAAGTCACTCGTGAGCAACTTTGCGAGAATTGGGCAATTGTCCAAGCAGCTTGCGTGTGGAACAAAGGAGTGTCGTGTCCAACGCTGCGGATGTGGTGGAGAGCTGCCAGACTTCGGAGTCAAAGTTGCGTTCCTTGGCTCAGGAACACCTCAGAGATTTAGGCCTCTGTGACTGTGACCATCGCCACGGGCCATGTCCACAAGATGTCTATTTGCACACGTCAGCTCTAAAGCCCAACGCGTCATGCTAGCTGAGGGCCTTTGTATGAGAAGCGATCCTTGCATTTCCGACGGGCCTTCAGGACATTCGCAAGCAATCCGAGGACAGCTGCATTTCATGATTGTCGATGGTGACCTGGTGATGCCCGGCCTGCGGAGTCTGCGGAGCCCACAAAGCGAGCAGGAGGGCCTAGAGAAAGGTCGTCGAGCGCAGGTTCCCATGTGGCTCGCTGCACAGGTAGCTAGCAGCCAGCACAAAGCACAAGCTTTCGATACTTGTGGATGTGGATGTGCCATCCCGTGCTGCAGTGCTTCCCCCTGTTGTAGAGCATCTTGTGGCTGGCCAGTGTGTCTGCCGCCAAGATGAGGCTGGCATGGAAGAGAGTCCTTTGCAATGCAGATATTAGGTCTACGGTACAGAGCCTGCCACGCGACCCCACCACATCACTTCTCCATACTGATCCCGTACGGTTCCACCGTAGACATGTGGCGCATGCTGTTGCACGCCAGGAGTGGCGAGGCATTCATCCACCAGCAGACCGAAAAGGCCGCAAGTCGCTCACGTTTCGCAGTGGATGCGAACCTCTGCAGACGCATCAAATCTGGACAAGTTTTGACTGGAGTCGTTGCTAAGAGTGCCATGCGCTGCTACGTTTTCAGGACGCAAGCGCAGCCGCTCACCACGGCGAGTAGAAATGGGAGGAAACTTGGTGAGTTGTCAGAAGCAGATGAGTCAGATTGAGTTTCCGTGGTTCTGAGCTGAGGCGCCGGCCAGGGCAGCCAGGCTGGAGAGGCTGAAGCCAGTGATACTCTTCGCGATTCCCAGCTCGATGGCGAGCTTTTGGAGGCAGAGGGAACTCTGACCAACTGCTGCCCAAGATGTTTTTTTAGGTAATAGTTGTGCAGAGTGCGCCGCACTTAACGAAGGACGTGATGCTTGGCTCCTGGTCCCAGCTTTAGACCTCGTGTTGCGGGGAAAGTTTCTCTGAAGCGATGGTGTGATGTTTGCAGCTTCTGTCTGTTTCTCTGAAGTGGCGACCACCGCACCTAACGCAACAAGCATAGTCTAACTTTACCGTCAGGCCGGTGACACGGCGATGGAATTCACATTTGGCTTTTGCAAGAGGTGACTGGCACCGTCGTGGTCTCCAGTCTCACTGGTCCACCTGTCCACCCCCTTGGCACTTTTCCCCCTCTTTCTAATTTTTTGGCTGAAGCTTTCCGGCAGAATCGGGATGGCCGCATGTACTTGGTATGCATCTTCTGAGATGGATAGTGTTACTCGCAACGGGAGTGCTGGTGCTTTTTATCTTCGGCTGGCACTTTGCGGGGGCAGGGCAAGACCTAAGACCTGTAGGGTGCGCATGCCACGGGGAGGGTTGGCTTTGCTCGTCCTCATGGCTCGTTGAGCAGCAAGTCTTTTGACCAGTGGCAGCTCTTTTACGCTCTGCTCAGAAACTACCTGTGCTCGAAAGCGCCTCCAGCCTGCAAAGAGATGCTCTGCGGGCGGCACCGCTGACAAGCTCGCGTCGTGCAGTCCTGCTGGGTGCCCGTGCTTGAGCTGTAGCAGGTCTCTCGCCCCTTTGATCTCCCAAATGGCTTTCGGGTGGGCAGCAGTTTACCACAACGGGGAAACGAAGACCCGGGAGAGGGCACCTCATGTGTTCGCCGCCATCGCCTAGCGCCTATGGGCTTTGTCTTGTTTCTTGGCTTCCAGCATGAATGCTTGAACATTGCCAAGCAGGAGCCCTTGGGGGCGCTCGGAGACACGCAGATCGACGGTTTCCAGGACACCTTCGCGTCGTGGCACGTTTGCTGCCTTGTGAGTAGCTTCGGGCGAGTGTGTAAGGCGAGCTACGGAAGCCAATCCCTAAACGAAATTTGTTGCTTGTGGACCGGCTTTGACCAGCTAAACACTTGACTGCTCTGAAACGAAGCTGTTACAAGGCCTGGTGAATTTTGCACTGCTGGGTCAAGACCCCGACCTTGAGCATGTTATGGATAGTCTGAGCCCGAGCCCCCTATTGAATATAGTAGGAATGAGGGGGGGCAACCCCCAGTGACACCTATATCCACCACCTATTTTTGCTGCACTGCGGGGGGGGGGGGTTGGTTCCGAAATAGGTGGGGATGACTATGGAAGCAGCACTGAAGCAGGCCTGTGCCACTCTGATTCGAGTGTGCTTGCAGGGACAAGTGGCCCAAGGCTCGTACTGCATTAGTCAATATTCGTCATGTGCCCAGGATCAGTCGTAGCAGCAATTCGAAGCTTCCTGGAGAGTCCATTCTCACAAGTTCATCCACCTAACAGCCATTAATTGTTCAACGGCCATGCGGCGGATGCAGAAAACTGGGGAGCGGCGGAGTGGGCCGCCAAAAGGGAAAACCCATCTGTACTTTGGCCGCACGTGGTTTATTGTGGGGATGCCGGGCGAGGGGGCAGACACGGGGGGCCTGTGCAGCTTGCCGCTCAGTTACTTGGGCGGCTCAGCGAGGCGGCGAATTGGGCGGCAAAGCACGGGGGCGAGCCTTCCATTATGCAGTTGTCAGTTGCCTCCTCACCAATGGCCCAAGGCTCGGCCGTCCAGTTATGTCTCAAATGGGTTCTCGATGTCGCGGGATTTCGGTGTTTGGAGGTTTGGGGTTTGAGGTTCGGTGCTCCGATCGGCTCCGGAGCAGAAGGCGGGGCTCTGGCAGGAGTTGCGTTTGCTCTTTGATCTGCTTCCACTGCGGGACAGTAGTGCCGTGCAGTATCAGTTGATGCCTTGAGTGAGCCTGTTGAATCGTTTGGACCGATTGCTGCAGTGACTGCTGGTATTTCTGCGGCAACCAGACTTCAGGTGCGAAGCGATGCCGAGAAGCCGAGACCCATGGGGGTGATCAGAAGCCTCAACGACAGGCCGCAGTACATTTGCTGTTGTTTGGTATTGCTAGTTGATGGCGGACGAGCAAGGGATCGGGATGGACACCAGCGATCACCATCATTCCTCGCTGATTGCATGGTTTGGTTTGACGTGAGATTTAGGGTTTTGGGGCTATCCGTAGTTTATCGCACCCGACAAACACAGATTGGGACTCTCGGCCTGATTCCCTGGAGTCCGCTAGCCAGGCTGCCACAGCATCGTTTGGGCACGCATTGGTGGGGGCCCTGAGCTCCAGATGCTTCCCAGGCCGTGCACCAGTGACGGCGGCCCGAGCTGCCGATGCCGGGCATGACCACTCGACGCGCCGATGCTCCGTGTCCATCGTGTCCTGACAGCAGTCGCTCGCCGCTGCCACCGGGGTTTCGGTCGCAGGCGCATCTGCGACCATGACGTTCGACGACCGGTCCTTCCACAAGGGCTCTTTGGAGGCATCGACTCTGAACTACATGGAAGCACTGCTCAAGGACTACAAAGCCAGAGGTGTGCAGATTGGGCGGTGCTGACGGGTACCTCCAGGTCAACAGGGATGAGAAGATCCACTTGAACATCCTCCTGCAGCAGGTCTCGTCGTACTTCGTGAGGTAGCTGGAGAAAGTTCGAGGGCATCGCTTCAGCCAACAGGTCTTCACTAATCTGCAGACATTGCTGCCGGACAAAAGACACGAGGCAACCAAGGTAGAACAATGCCATAAAGCTGCCACCATAAATAAAGGATTACACTCCTCGGCCCTGATCCCTGCAACCTCAAATCTCGAGGACAGCCGACGTCCCTCAAAATGTTGAATTTCCTGGTCGAGGTCTGGAAGCTATGCCCAGTGGTGACGCTGGGAGATCGGGCCCCGGGTTGAACACGCCATTCCTGTAACCTTCAACCTTCAACCTAAAAGTCCAGATACCAAGCAGTCAGCACGAGGATTGCAGAGTAGTGCTCACTCAGGCACAAGGATCCACTCACGGTCATTGCATGTTGCCTGTTTCTGGAGATGGAGAGAGAGAGAGAGAGAGAGAGAGCTGTTACCTTTCACTCCCCTCGAAAGCCTCACAATATGTGGGGGGCCAATAGGCCGGATGGCCTGACCCGTCCCCTATGCTCTGGGGAAGAAGAAGAGAGAGCTGTGATTTCGGGGGCGACCCGCCATGCCATGCACAGGAGGCTGTACAGCTAAGCTCACAGGGGGGAAACCCCTGTTGGGACATTCAAAGCCTGCCGAGACCTGCAGGTGCGCGTTCGCGTGCGGGGTGAGGGGTGCGACCTACCCTGAGCCCCAAGCCTGGTAGAGAGAGAGAGAGAGAGATATGTCGAATGTGTTGACTTGGGGCTTAGCTAAGGGATAAGGGGATAACCAAAAAACCTCAAGGTCTCCCTCTCTCCCTCTCCCGTCCTTGCTGGGCGGGAGGGACAAAAAAACCTTGAACACTCCTTGAACCCTAAACACTCCAAACAAGCAGTGCAGCTGGTGTACGTCTGAAGTTTCACCGCGAAGTTTCGCGAAACAACACGTCGGCAGGGGCCGCTGCAAAAAGATCCGATTCTGAGCGCGTGTCAGACAAGGTTGCGCGCAACAACCCCCCAACCCCGCCCTAGCCTGTAAAAAATAGAAAAAGGATGCCACTATTTCCCCCCCCCCTCTTGAGGGAGGGGCCGTTCTGAGTCAATAGGCCTTGCTGACGACCAGTAGTGCAGGCCTTTAACAAGCAGTAGACACGCAGAGTTGTGCAACAAGTCAGAACAAGAGAAGGAGACCCATCTGCTTTGACTGCCTGCGCTTAGTCATGACTTCACCACAAACTTGATCACTTGATTTGCAGGCATCCTGTGAAGAGCTTGAACTAGTTGGAGCATTTTGTTCGCTGCAGGACCTCGAGGATGCACGACCGTCTGCTTTTCCCATTGGAGGCCGAAGCGACTGGCCTAGACAGCAGCAGTTGCGACATGTTGAAGTCGCAGCCACAAGATTTGAGGCATGGTGCCGAAGTTGACCATGCCACGCCGCTTGGACTTGCACATTTCCATATTCGTTGAAATCCACCAGTGTAGCACCGAGAGAATCCGACAGAGTTTGGCGCGGCCTGCGCATCATGAGTCCTAGGGCATCTATCTGTTCGTCAACCAGTGAGATAGGCGATCAAGTTCGGAAACCATGCAGGCAAATGGTACCGGGTCAAGACAGCTAGCATCCACTTGCCTTCGCCCTATTGGGCCATTGTCGCAGCCTCTCCCTGACTTGTCCGAGTGTCAGTACATGCTTGTACCAACAGCGCATAGTCCATGTTTGGGAAAACACTACGGGCGAGACGCAGAAAAGAACTTCGGGAAAAGAGCCCGGAACAGTCGAGCTTATCACACATGGAACTCTACAGTAAGTCGCAGGAATCCATGTGAAGAACTTGGAGGTTGACGTAGAGACATCTGTAGAAGCTTTTGATTTGCGTTTCAGCTTGGTCGGCTTGCTTCTCTCACTTTTTAAATAAATTTGTTCTCCGACTTCGCGGGTATCAAACAAGTAGCTACTGCATTGATTTGAAAGCTGAGTGTTGCAGGTGTTGCCTCGGAGAGTAGCCACACACACACACACTTCGACGGTGATGTGAAGCCGCCGACCTTTGGTGGGCTCACACGGCAAGCCAAACTTGTGAAGGGTCTTTTGGACGCAGGGGTGCTATTCGACTCACCGCTCGCATCTGTGGCTGCGTGCGGGCGGAAGATTTGGAACAAGATCAGCAAGAAAACACGCAGTATGTTTGATTTCTTGGCCCTGTTCCGAGTTGACATGGCCGTCTGCTACGCGGATACCCAGGCACCAAGCGAATGTGAAGCCCATGTTCCATGTGTTTCTTGTTCTGTGCAGCCTGTACAGAGTTTTAATTCCTGTGCGTGTGTCGAGTAATTCCAGACAGTGGCTTCGGTCAATCGCGTCATGCTTGCGGCATGGCCGGAGGTTGTCGAGGACTTGCCGCAAGAGTTCGTGGAGCAGTCAAAGGCGGCTTCTGCTGACAGAGCATCGCCACACTCTCCTGCCGGTGGCTCAGGAAAGTAAAACACTGCCGAGTGATGGAACATGTTCCTATCTCCACGAGACGATTGTGATCTTCAGAATCCAGACACGCAGTCGTTTGGGACTCCACCGCTTTCAATCTGCAAAGTGTCGGCTCTCTGCCTTCAGGCACACACTCCACCCTCCGAGCCCTCAGCCGTGCCTGAGCTCGAAATCCGATTCAACGTGCATGCGTTCTGGTGGGGTATAATAAGATCGCAGGCTCCTGTCTGACAGTCTAGCCACTGCAGATGTGGCTGAAAACAAGAGGAACAGGACTTGATTCAGTTTCTCGCATGACGGACCGGTGCTGACCATAACCTACCTCGAAGTCCCAAACCGAAAACTTGTGTGGATCCTTTCCTGCCGCGTGCGAGTGTGAGAGTCGAAACCGAATGCGAGCCACGAAAGGCAGACGAAAGTTCTCCTCGGAGGTTTGGCACCTTTCGTGCTTCCGGGGTTCCGCCCTTTCCATTTCATGGACTTGCGGTTTAAGTTTAATCTCTCCCAACTCTGTCCCTGAGCTCCCTTCCCCGTGAGTTTTCTGCGAGCATGTCTCGGCTAGACTGGAGCGGACCAGCGAAGTGGAAGGGTGGTCTGACCAACCAGCTGAGGAGGAACGACATATCTTTTTGGAGAAGTGTTGCCTTCTTTCCTCGGGGATATCCTACAATCGTAGAATATCCGAGCATCCTCGGCAGGAACGAAGGACAGAGAGGAAGGGCAGAAGGAGGGGAGGAAGCAAGACGAGCAGATCTTCCATTCAGATCCCATGAACGGCGATGACATCTCAAGAGCACCAAGATGACGTGTTTGAGCTTGTTTGATCTTGAGGCGTACCGGATAAGGCGCTCGTCTCTTTGCAAAGTTGGTTGGGAGGGCTTTGATCCCTGGGCGTCCTTCGGTCCAACGGTCGCTGGATCCCATAGTCCTCTAGCTGCGTCTCGTCCCGCTGGTGCGCTGGTCCTGGAGTCAAGGCCAACTCTTCAATGAACTCCCAACGCATGTTAGAGTTTGCCTTTGGCCCCATGTCCCCTATGACTGAATTTGCGGGTAGGCTCCGTCGGCAATTCTGGCAACATGAACTACAACGGCGAATTTAAGCGAATTTCGAACGGAAATGATGGACAACTGATGGACACTACAGTCACTAAGATTTTCGATTCCTTGGTAGGGTCCAAATCCCCCGAAGGAAGTAACGCAATTGAAGTTGCAGAAGTCATCGAAATCCACTGTGAAGCAGCTGATGATGTTGCAGTTTCCAGCCTGCTTCGCCATCATTGCCAGCAGAGTTCTGCAAAACTCAAGGTGGCAGCATCTGTTCCGGAGCCTGTCCAAGCCAGCAGCCAGAATGGACCCGTCGGGCGGCAGTTACTTGCAAGTTCCATGTTTCCAATGCACTGACCAACAAGGGTGCGTTCACAACGGAGGCTTCACTCTCTGTGCCGAATTGCCGAGGAAGTTGCGTCTCCTGCAGTTGCGCGGAAAACACTGCGCGATCACAGCAGGACTCTCAGGCGGAGCGGTCTCGAAAGATGACATGTCTACACAAGCCTTCAAGCCAGTGAGCAGAGTTCCTTGATCTCGTCAGCAGACGGGAAGAAGTACGGCTGCAGGCATCGCGAGTGTCGTGGGGCGGGGGAAGTGATGCCGAAGAGCTTGCACTCGTGCGGTGCCGAGGGCGATGTACAGAGGCTCGGCCTTTGGCTGTTCTGGGATCTGCAGCGAGCAGTGTGGGCTGCATGCTTCAAACGGCACCTCTCGAGCATCTGCAGGCCTTATCGAATCCGCAGGCGAAGTGAGAGAAGTGAGCCAGCAGTCTCGTATGAGAAGCTGACACCGGAGAGCAACGAAGAAGGAGGGTGCATGCTGCCCGGGGTGAGGAGTTAGGAGAACACACTACGAAGATGGCCCTAGCTCCAACATTCTGACGTCTGCATTTATTGTGCGTGCCGTTAAATCAGGCCTGCTCAGATCTACGGCTTTGTGTACAGCTCTGTCGTCCGAAACTGCGCGGAGGCCGTGCTGAGTTGTGCTACGCACCGGCATGCTGCTTTTTCATGTTGCTTTTGGATTTCCCAACCTGGTTGCTGATCAGCGCAGCACCCTGATAGGCATCTCAGTGGGAAGTCGCAGTGCGAGCCTGATGAATTTCGCACATATGGCATAGTTTTTTATAAAGAAATTAGTCAAGTTGTATGACATGCAGTCGACTGCATCAAGGTGTCGTTGCTGCTGTCCTCCACAGGTGGGAGCTGTCGTGCCTGCTCGCAGTCGTCTGAGGTTGCGAATTACGAGCACTGAAGGTGGTGCGCAGGAAACCACCGGCTTCATGTTCGCTTGGCTGGCACTCGCAGCGGAGTTGCGTGCAACACGCTAGCCGCTTCGAGTATGGAATCATGGAATATCGGGTAAATGTCAGTTCGCCGCAAGCCGCCAACACACCATCTAGGTTTTGCACCTTCGGCCACAAACAACGGCACATGACAAGCAAAGCTTTTACACGTGCTATCTGCTTTCGCAATGGCGAGGCTGGTTCCTTTGACTCATGCAGAGGGCCCAGGGTTTGAAATCGGTGGCGGGCTGTCCATAGGCCGGAAAGAGACGTGCCAGATCCGAATCAGCGGCCCAACAGTAAGCGCCATTCAGTGTGAAGTGCAATGGAATGCCCAACACGGAGTTTTCCAGGTTATTGACAGAAGTTCCAATGGCACATTTGTTAATGGCAGACCGATGGAGAAAGATCAGGTTTTGCAGCTGCACGACGGTGACGTCGTCCAGTTGACTAAGCGTTGGCCACATAGCCCTGCTTTGCAGTATACGTTTGTAGCTCCAACTTCTGGGCAGGTCCAAAGAGCAGGCACAACCCACGCAGTGGGTGTGGGCACGAGTTGCCCAGGAGAGACAAAAATCCTCAAATCAGTGGAAGTTCCCGTGGAAGATGCCGTTCCTGGATCAGAGGTGGAATCTTGCTGTGACGTCATCGCAAAGCTTCAGTTTACCTTAAAGGAGGAAGAAGATCGAGCAGCTTCTTTGACCGAGCAGCTGGACAGAGTAACGGGCCCTGCTGTAGAAGGACTGGAGGAAGCCAAGTACCAAGCCCAGGAGGCAAAAGACGAAAAGCAGCAGCTTGAGAAGGATTTGAAAGAAGCCAAGGAAACCGTCTTTGCCAACATAGCGGTGGTCAAGGAGTGCGAGCAGCAAGGAGCGAAACTGCAGCACTTGCAGCGCAACTTGCAAACGCTGCTCAGTGCTCGTCAAAGCATCCGCCAAGCCACTTCCAGATTCCGTGAGAACGCCGAGGCGGCGTGGGCTGTTCAGTCCCGCATGCAGCAGCTTGTGGCCGAGCAAATGTCCTCCACGGAAAAGTTGCAATTGCAATTGAGAAGTTCCGTGTTTGAGATTAACACCCACTCCACGGATCTCTCGAGTTCCATCAGCGAGGGCCAGGAGCATGATTTTGTGGAAGGTCACAGGGGCAAGCATGTGCGCCACTTGACAAAGAGCCGTGATCCCTCATCTGCCAAGAAACGGAGACGAAGACTGGAGGCAGGAGACATTCCGACAATGGAAATCTTGTGAGGTCCTTCAACCTGTGTGTCCGCAAGCAGCAGTGGCAGTCCTTCTGAGAAGGGTAAGTGCAAGCTTGTACAGAAATTAGCACGAATAATTCGAAGGTGTCCAGCTGCGAGGTGTGGGGGGGGGGGGGGGGGGGGGGGGGGTCGTTTCAGTCATGCACGAGACATTCGTCTCTTGGAACAGATGGTGGGGCACGAGAAAATGGAGTCGGTGTGCAGCGAACCTGGGGAGTTTCGTCCTTGCAACACAACCTGAACCCGTGTGCGCAGATCCAGATTGCTTGAAGGCGTGGCAGATGTATCAGCTCACTGCCGGAGCCCGACTTGCTTGACTTGGCAAGTGTCTGAAACATACAGGTGTGAGTCGACAAGTACTACCATGTTCGAAACTCCTGGAATCTAGAAATGATGTATTTGGAGGTGCTGGGCTGATTGCTTGCGGCATTCTGAGCAAGGGGAAGTTCAGCAACTCGAGAGCTGACTGCCGACAACGCCTGTGGAATGTAACCTTTCTTAAGGACAGGTACTAGCTTACAAGCCGCTTGATTGCCCAGGCCGCGTTCGTGGACATTGGGAGGAAGCGGAAGCACTTCTTGAGGCATAGGGGCTGAGCGGTGTCAGATTCAGGATGTTCTGCGGCATGCTGTACTTAGATGTGTTTGGCGACTTAGCTGCTTTGAATATGGGTGAGCAATGGCGAGTGCAAACCTACCAGCTGCCAACCTTCCGAGTCTGGCCCAGCTACGGCTGGAAACTAGTGCTGGCTTTCTGTGGAACATGCAAGGGTCGTCACAGTCTTTTGCTCTGCTTCTGGAGCAGTCGCCAGGTAACAGAACGTTACAACAGTATACGGATAGATAAGATGATTTGCCAGTGGTAGATAGATCATGCTAGATTCAACATGGCGAGACTCTTGCTACCATGTTGACGAGGTCGAGTTGAGGTCCTCCCATTCAATGATAGACTGGTTGGCTTTGGAGTCGCCCTCAAGCTCCCACGGAACCTCAGACTTCAGGAACTACGAACCGCCTAGACGACCCAGAGCTTCCGCTGCACAGGCACTGCAGGTGGCACCCCAGGCCGAGCCTCAGACTCTGGGAAACGCTCATGCTCAGGATTGCTCAGGCAGAACTCGGCAGAACGGACAAGTTACGCATGAAGTTGAGAGAGTGATCGAGAGGTCGGAGTTGCAGCAACGAAGTGTTTGGACTGAGGGTAAGAGAAGCAGCATGGTGAAAACCGACATTTACGGAAGGGATCGGTATGCTTCTTGCAAAGTCTTGAAGCCGCTGACCTTGGTGGACTCCCGCTGATAGACGTCGCATCATGACTGTGGTCTTCTGCGATGTTTGAGTGCAGACAGACCGAACCCAGGGTCCGAATTGGGCCAATTCCAATTCGAACCGAAAAGACAGAGGCCTGCTTCGAAATCTTGCATCCAAGGGCTGCGGGAGTTTGCTCAAGCCCAGGTGCATGGGCGTCGCTCGAGGCTTGCTTTCAACATTGCGTCATGCTGGTGCTGTGATCAAAGTGCTGCAGCTTGGCCATTTGCTCACCTTCAGAAGCCATGCATGATCGTCGTCAGTGTGTGAATTTTCCTTGTGCCGCGTGGTCTAGTACAGCCGACGGTAATGAAAGCGCAGTGCTTCCACCTTTTGCAGGCCCTTCCCCGCTCGTCGAAACTTGCCCCGCAATGGCATGTCCGCTGATGCCCGTTGACTGCACTCATTCTTGCAGCATTGCGGCAGACGTGCTAACAGTCCGTTTGAACTCGTGAGGACACGCGACGGGACTAGCACTAGATGCGACCGCCCAACACGGGTTTGAGGGAATCGTGCGTGCTGAGATATTGCAGTAAAGTCTGAAGGTTTGCCGTCATGCGTGGCGTCGCTCGAATCTTCGCCTCGTGCCGGAGCGCAGCAGATGAATTCAGACAAGGATTCTGACTCAACGTGCTTGAATCGTCAGCGGTACATCTTGCCTGCCCCCTTGGCTTCATGGGCTGCACCTAATGGCTCAAGCGAACATGTTGCGAATATCATCAAATGGCACTGACACCAGAGGGGTACATGGCTTTTGAGTTGTAATTTTTCTTGGTGTCTTTGTGTAAAAGCCTGGTGCGACTGAAGTCCATCTTCAGCCAGAGAAATTTGCTACACCACGCTGGTCTTGTATTCCATGGCAGATGCGGGGCCATCTCACAAACAGGGCGTGGGCTCCGTGTTCCAATGCCACTTTCCGAGGATGCTGAGGTAGAGCTCGAGGCACGCAAGACCGTGCAGATCGCTGCATTGACGTGCTTGGCCAAGCCCAAAAAAACGACATGTGATGAGAGGCACTCGATGGAATTTTCCCAGACGCCGTGGAGCGACTGGCTCCGCAGCACTTGCGTCTTCGTTTATCTCCTGAACCTGACAACGAAGGTGCCATTAACAACTCGCTTGCCCGGATTCCCTCTAGTCCACAGTAGTAGTAGTAGTAGTAGTAGTGGTAGTGGTAGTGGTAGTAGTAGTAGTAGTAGTAGTAGTAGTACTAGCAGTAGTCGTCGTAGTAG